ATAAAAATACAAACCCCTGTAAAACCAGATTAAAAAACCGAATATTAGAAGCTGTGTCTCTATTTAAAATTATTTTTAAAATCACCCTAAATAAAATCCTCCCTAGGTCAGGCCCGCTTGCTGGAAAAGCCATGTCTTGAGGGCACGGCGGAAGGTAAGGAGATCCGGAATCGTCCGGATCTCGGGGGGTAGTTCGTTCTCTTGATTATTTTTAATATTATGTTAGTCACACTAAATTGATTTTCCATAATCAGTAAACCAATAGATGTTTTATCTCCTCTCTTAACACAGAGAAAGAGACATCCTAAAAGTTGCCTTCTGAAACATGGAGTAATGGTTTCCTGTGTTCATCTCTAAAAAAGAGAGAAAAAGTTTGACTGGCATTGGTGGAATAATGTATTTATCTACTTATGCTTGAAACATAAGAAGACCCAAAGTCAGAGCAGTTTGCAGATCCCAAGCTGAATTGAGTGGGTCCATATCTGAACTAAGGTCTTACTACGAGTAAAGAACTAAGTTTCAGAAGATCATACTTAAAGGATTTTTATTCTTGTATTAGACATTTTGAATGCAAGTGTTAAAACACAAGTGTTAAAAACACACTAAAACGGATATATTCTGTTGCTACTCCTTCCAGTCCAGAATCTCCTAAATAGATGTTCTAGGACATGGAACAGGCCTGGAATCTACTATTTTTGTTACAAATGTCTGGGTCTGGGAAAGATTAATTTGTTGCTATATTACACACACACACACACACACACACACACACACACACAAAGTAATGAGGAATTTCCATATCTAGAATCCTGATATGAATTACTGCTCTAATTTTTAGGCTGAATTCACACTGACTAAATTATAAGTGTTAATATTTTAGCACTGTGATTTGATATGCAACAACTGGGTAGCCTAAAATAGACAATCATTTTATATTATCGATTTATTTGACATGGTAATATTTATGAATTTATACTAGTTGGAAGCAGTGTTACTCATAATGCTCAGTTAATGTTACCGAAGTTTTTGCTTGTTAGAGTCTCAGGCCTTGTCAACTAAAGATGAGATTTAAATCTTTATTCTCATGAATTTCTGTAACCTGCATTTTTTTCCTGTCTTGGGGTGTGCATCTCTTTTTAGCCACCCATGTCTTCATTGCTTCATGGGTGGACTATTGCATGCATACTACATGGGCAACACTTGAAGACCACTTAGAAATGCTACAAAATGCAGTGGCAGGAGCAAGCCTCACTAGGTAACATCTTTGCTTTGTCACTTGAACTGGTCACCAGTAAGCTAAGTGTAATTCAGGGCTGGTAGTTATCTATAAAGCCCTGGGTGACATAGGGTCTAGCTATCTGAGGGATGATACATTTCTTGTTTAGCTCCTTCTCCTGTGTGGTCAGACAGAGTCAATAGTTTTGGATCCCTTCAATCAAGCAGTGCCATCTAATGGTATCCAGGAAGTAGATCTCACCTGTTGCAGTACCCGTCTTCTGGGACAGAATGTCCCTGGAGATTAATATCATCTGTCATTCAACCCACTGCTAGGGCTAGAGATATAGAAATTGTTTCTTTTTTTAATCTGTTTTCTTGGAACATCTATTGTATATTCTTTTCCTATAAGAAGTTGCTTTCTTTTTTTGCCTTTTATTCTTGTGAAATTTCCCAGAGTTGTTTTTGAATTGAGTGGCTTACATATTTGATAGATAGATAGATAGACAGACAGACAGACAGACAGA